AAAAGATTAAGTTGAAAAACGAGTGTTAATTAACTTAGTCTTTTTTATGTTACACAAATAATGTCAATTTGAAGTTGGATTTACAATTTCGTAGAGTGAAGAAATTTACACTTTCTCCCTTCACAATAAGGAATTCTAACCCCTATCTACTGAAGATATTCATATAAGATATAATAATATAATGTTCTTAATGCATTACTGAACACCAGCCCAGTATGCTGTTGAATTTACTTTGCTTGAGTTATTCATCTTTTTGTGACTTGTTGCATGAAAACACGTTCAAAATAAATTAGAGTTGGTAGGGGTTAGTAAAATGTCTAACAAAATCATGAGTAACACTAATTGTCTGGACAACGCTATGGAGACGCATTACTTGTACATCATATACGACAGAACCGTCAGACTGCAACAACGAGGGAATTAGACAGACCCAAGCTCTCATTTTCCCTATCAATAAATAGGAACAATTATTCCGGTACACCTGTACACGTCATGTAGAAACAGGAAGTGCGAGGTAAACTGGGAGTTCTCAACTAACATATATTTAACTTTATTTTCCGTTGGATAATTAAATACAGGGAAATAAAAATCTGCTCTGTAGCCATTTTCTTGTGTGAATGCTTAGTATGTTAAATATTAAATATCTTATTCTACGTCAATCACATACAGTAATAAACTGTCATTAAGCCGGACGATGAAAAATGCACCTCCGTTATCAAGAAATCACTCGGGATATGGACCAACTACAAAAAGGGCCATATACTTAAACCAGAAATGTAGCTATTACGCAATAGCATATTGTTGTCTTCATCCTGACGACCGATAGCTTCAACGTTCTTATATTTTCGAGATATCCATTACTTGGTTCGCAAAACAAGTGTACATTGCTGATCACTTCGAGTTTAGATAGACATTAATCTTTACTATTAAAACACTCCTGTCAGGGTCTGCAATGTAGAGTGTAACATTGCATTTTATTCGTGAAAGATTTGGCCGTCAACATCATAATATCCAATAGCAACGGGGCGAAAATATAAAGTACAAACAACGTCATGAAACCGAATAAAGTATGAGTTCATCTTCACAAATGCGTTTGCGTTCTACAGTATTGACTAGCGGTCATGATACATATCATTCTATATGTTGCCGCACTATTGGCAAGATTTTCAGGATGAATGAATTAAGTTCGACACCAGACCACACACTTATAGTGAATAAAGTCAATGCTTCATTCATTTTGTATATAGAGACGTAATTGATATCTACAGATAATTATTGGATGTTTAACTACCTGCAACAACTTGATTCAGAAGAAAACGATGTCAAAGGAGGATAGGGTTATTTACTTTTTATAGTGCCATCACACTGAAATGCTAGATCATGGATATGGTAGCATGATGGTGCGCTCGAGTAGACGTAGCTGAATAGACGTGAAAAGGCTTGGGATCGTCTGCCTGATCACGTCGGTATTCGCCTGTTATTCAAGTTCCCTCTCACATTAAGACCCGTCGTTATGATTAAAGCAATAATTGGAAAATAAAGTTAAAATTGCCAATTTGCATTTCGCTAATATCTTTCGTGAATACAGAAAAAAGGTATGAATAGTACTGCAATACAGTGTTGGACATACTGGTAATTCACTTCGGATGGAATTCATGGTCATATGATAAGTAGAAATGTCACCTTGACACTGGCAGGTTTAACAGAAGACATTTTAATAATAGGTTATATTACAATATAGTCTTAAAAAAGATCGGATGCCCTGAGGTAATTGATTTCAATTAGATAACAATGTTCTATTCACAGACAAGTATTCAGACGGAAGGTGAAAGGTCAGGTCGTATACTTGTCTCGAGATGCAGGTAGAATTCCGTGTACGAAGACTTAAAAAATGTAGAGATAACAAGAATTTCCCTAGCTAAAGGCATTATCGTATGATTCTGTATTGGCAGTGAAATAGCAATGAAATGCTAACAAGGAACACACATGCACAAAGCTTGCAATTTTCAAGATGCACGTGTAGGCATATATGGCAAATGTGTACACTTTTCGATATAATTCATCGTCTTGAGCGTATATTCCAAAACACCATAGCCTCATTAAGCTAAACGACAGTTGCTCAAAATGCCACAAACTCTTTCTGAACATATAATGTATATTATATGACGGAAGAGTTTCCTGTGTAATTCAACTGTGTATGGAATATACCGTATGCCGATTCTAATATGAAATTGGATTTCTACATTCTCCTTAAATAAAGGTCGTGATTAAGTCGACTGCCTTTATGATCGTTCAAATGACAAACGTTATTATTTCTTTTTTATTTTAGTTTGGAAATCAGTAGAATAATGAAACATTTTCAGGCACTTGATAGCATCAATCTATGGTAACAATAACTGTAATTCCTGCAAACAGAGTTTTGCCAATAACATTTACAGCATTGTGTTGTCACTCATTAAAAGTAATCTACTTACTACTGTTATGCAGGATAAAATGAAAGTTTAAACCAGAAATTAATTTCTCACCAGTTTTAAAAGATTCAAATTTCGGGTTCTTGCCAATTTTATTCAGAAATTCTTTGAAACATTTCAATGAACAAAAATAATGCAATCTTAGTTATTTGAATGGCGTTGGTTGCACATTAGTTTGATATAAAAGTATTTTACATTGTGATATCGTTTCCCTTTCTGCTAGTCTGTCTTTTTGAAAACAACGGACGAGTAACATGACAGAGGCTAACTATGGAGATACGAAGGAAACAGGTTTCATCTGTCTGTCAGTAGATGATTTTTGTAACAAAAAGTGACACTGTATCAAATATGGGGTGAAATTTTTAAGGGTTATAGACATTATCTTACCATTCTACTTCAGTAGGTTTTGTAATGATAATTCAAATTTACTAAGATAAATTGAAGTATCTAGTGAAATAGTTGGTAATTCTAAGTGTATAGTAATAAGATATTCAACGTTACCTTGACACAAAATCATGCAGCAAAAACAAATGTTAACGATTTTCTTCTTCATCAGCACGTTTTATTTCTCTTCTTAAAAGCTTGTTTGTTTCAAATGAAAACTTAATAGACGGGTTTATAATGATGAATATTATTTCAACAGAGACTGGCTACATGTATATGTACCTACGTGAAAACTGTATGAAATAATTTCAATACTCGTGTAAGCAAAACTACAGATGCATGTGTCTTCAAAGTGTCTAGAATTTGCTTTGTGGGTTTTATTGTTTTTGCTTTGAGATTAATATCCTGGCCACAGCCATGTGTATTGTGAGGACAGGAGTCTTTGAAACACGTATATAAACATGACACAAAAGAAATGTTTGGAAGACATAAGGGGTAAAAATGATGAATTAAATACCGCTTAAGTGGCAACAGATCAACTGAGGAGCATTATGTTAGAGAAACGGTTCCTGTTTCTGCATGGACCAACTATTTTCGCTTTTAAAGATCAGGATTCCAACGTACATTCTTTCCCTAAACTTCATCACAAAAAATCTCAAATCTTATTATGTGTTCATATTTTCAATTTCTGCATAACTTGGCAGTTAGTTTTTCAGCTACGATACTGGTTCCTAGCAAGAATATTCGTTAAGAACGTAATTACCCCTATAAATCACATATCAAACTAGTAGAAAAAATCATGCAAAGTAGATTTCCCCGACTTAACTCAAGGTCGTTTCAAACATTTGCAATTACAGATGAAAAAAAACGATCCAATGCTATTATAAAAGCGGCTGTATTTGGCAAACTCATTAACATTCATAGATGTCTACGTTCATATTTCAGTTCCAATGTTATGTGGAAATAAGTACGAAGACGTATGCTTGTTAGTTATATCTATCGTCCATACATGTCTGACTTCTGACAAACAGATGTGTGGTTAATATATGTTACTGTCGTTAGCGTACCAGCTATGTTTGAGTATGTCAGCTGTCATATTCAAATTTCTTATGATTAAAGAGTGAAGGTGTTGCCTTTGAAAGTGCAATCACGCGAAAATATCATAACCTAATTAAATTCTTCAAAATCTGACGTCACGTCACTTTGTTCATTAAGGTACATTGTATTTCACATGGCTTCATTAATAATGTCAAATAGAGAAGAAATGGTAGTATTTGTTTTCACATCTGATATAATAGATCCGATATCCCAGACAAAGTTATTTGTTTATGATGAACGAAAGAGGTACTCATTGTTAGTTTGTAGACTATGCTTGATATATATAAATATATGACCCTTTACTTACACATCTGTCTATTTCTCATGTCTTTGTTTCTTTACATATCACGCAGGTACAACTTGAGAATTACCTTTGCATTCCAGTTTGCATTACCGGATGACATGACTGAACTCTGTATTTTAGCATCTTTTCTTCCTAATCTATTTTTCCTGCTATGTCCCCAAAATGACACTTCCTCAAATTTGACCTTTATTTCTCCCGTGTGAGAAATCTTACTGGTGTTGTCCCTATTTCTCGGTATAACGCATTCATAAAAATCGGTACTTGCTGTTCCTTGATTAACTCTCAGCACTACATTATTGAATCATATGTTTGCCATCCCTGAACCAGAGTGATGGATCGTGAGAGAAGTCCGATATACACTACATGACATAATAACACTTAGTTTACTCGTTTAAATGACCGAAATATGTTAAAACAACAACAAACATCAAACGAATCTCTAATCTTCAACAGTGCCTACCTCAGAGTTCCAATATCATATAGAAAATTGCCCGTAAACAAATGCAAAATTAACAAAACGGTAAAATATCACTAATACAAGAATAGAGTGATACGATGCAAAGCATCCGAATTATAAACAGCCCTTAATGTTTTACAATTTGTTGAATATTTCATGTTTCTTTCGCGTACGTTATACAAATGGCGATATATAGGAAGTTGTTATACACCTGCTCGATGATAATCTGGATTTAATAATAACTAAATACTTATATGATGCTGATAACCTATTTCTTTCTCTCCAGGTACGTTCATTTCTTCCTTTACCGTGTTTTGTGGCGCAACGACCAGGATAGGTAAACGAGTTCACGCCTTCGTCCTCAATATCCTCGCAGCACTGCTCCAAATGATCACCTTTCTCGTCATTGTTGGATGGATATGGAGTATATTATGGGGGATGAACTTCGTCCAGTTTGCATGTAAGTGAAAATATTCAATTCGTTGGAGTAGACTCTGCCCTCTATTTGAGAAAATCAATAACAAAAGATATCAAGATGTGGAAAGAATCAAAATCCAAGGCCAATAAAACTAGAGAAAAAAATGAGAAAAGAAATGGTTTTCACATTGAGATTCCTAAAAAAAAAACTGTTCCCAATATTACGATTTTCTTGTAAGAGGTCGTCAACGGACATACAATTTCATAAGACAAAGTTTCAAAAAATGAAGGGTGATGATAACTATGTGGAAGTTTTTCGGTCGTCATATTGATCTCCCTGAGAAATATTCATTTTCGTTGTGCTATATGAAGCTGCACGTGGTTAGTTTGTCTCTTGTTTCCGTTGTTATATACTTTGTTCTCATTTGAAAACGAGGCAATACTTACCTTGATTGACCAAGGCTTACATGGTGGGTGTCGCCGATGAAGCAGAAGATGCTTACTCTTCCGGAACACATGATCTTATTTGCCTTGTGCTTATTCAGGAGCTTCCGTATAAATATATCTTTTGTTAATTTTTTGCCCTAGTTTAATTGAATTTGAGTTTGGATCATGATTTTTTTTTATTTATTTTTAAGCTATACCGTCATCATTTTTACCTTTTATCTTCGAAATTAATAAGTTTAAGGTGCAAATCGTTTTTATTTATTTCAGAAAGTTCACTTAGTGAACATCTTCTGATATGTGTATTTTCGACTAATTTGACAATTTTTTGTATATTTTGCAGTAGCCAAAGGAGAGGAGAACAAACGTAAACTCGGACCATATTACGTGAGGAGGCAGAGCAGTGTCGACGTGCCATGACCGTATAACTTTTGTTATCAAGTGTCCTCACATATACACTCGTACATATTCATTCTACGTAGAAACGACAGCGATCATTCTATGGAAGGTTGCAATACGAAAACGTTGAGTTTAGCCGATATCTATACGGTGGATAGAATGAACATATAACGAGTCAACAACATATATGCTTGAATTATAAATGGTGTTTATATTCGAATGAGAGATTCAGTGAACCGTTTGTAATTGGTGAATTGTATTCTAGAAATTAAGGATTTTGATATAAAATCTTGAAGTAATAGCTCTAAGTTTTACGAGGTTTGTACCGATGCGATTGTCATGTTATTTTTTAATTAATGGGAATTCAGCCATTAACATTACGTCAAGATACAGCATGATGGTACAGCCTTGCATAACGCTACTTTTTAGAAGCTAAGTTGAGTGTAAGTATTGACAAGTATTTGTACATATTGTGTCTGGGACTATTTCATGAGTATTATCTAGAATACAGATAGCAGATAGATTTTTTTTGTTAAATACGAAGGGGTTTGATACACGACTACGATAAAATGCAATATTCCTATCAACCCTGATTATACTGTTCTCCATGTACGAATACCAATTACTGAGAGCATTTTCCTGGTATTTCTTCGAAAGATGTTACCGCTTATATATTAATGAAGGTATATATAACTCGAACACTTGGGAGTAGAAAATGGGGCTGTCAGGCTGTAATATATTTGCGGAACTGAATGTGTTTTATATTTCTTTCTTTTTTCATTGACTGAAGTCAGAATATATCTTATTATGTAGACAAACATTACCTGTGCATGTATCATACACCTTTTATAAACCCGCAGGGAATACCCTACTTGTGCATTACGAAACATAATAAAAGTTTGTAACGATGGGCTCGTGTCATTTAGGAGACACTGACTGGAAATGAACATGTGATTCGAAATCGCCCAAAAAGATCATTCGAAGATAATGTTAAGCTTATGCTTGTGTACCTAAAATAACAAGAACATTTAAGTATGGTTATCAACTTATTATGACGTGTTTCCCTTTACATTATACAATGAGTAAATAAGCAAGAAATGTTTGTATTGAAATGCCAGCATTCCATATGTGTTTCTTTATCTACCTAGTATAACTGTAACGTTACTTATTACTTGTATCGATAAATGCTATTTGCTTCTTAGGACTGTTTTGTCGACTTGATCCCCCAGCCCCACTCCAAAACTGGTTATTAACTTATTTTATTTTTATTCTTTAAATTTAGAAACCTGTTAACATTTAATCAGTGTAGGTGTGACGATCTGACTACATACTAGTTGTTACAGTGGTTTGTGCGTATATTTCACATGAGAGTTAATGTGATTTAAAACAATTATTTTGTCTTTTTGCTCTTCTCTTAGCCGAGCCTGTATAAATCATCGACATGCTAATGCGACAGTGGCTGTCCCTATTGTCGACATTCAAATTAAATTCAACTTTATTTTACAACAAGATTGTGAATCTGATTATGCCAACTTGTATTAAACACTCAAAGCGGTCCGGATGAGAGCGCGAGAGGGGTTTTACTGTAGGAAGTGACCAGGGTACCCAGGAAACCCCAGGTAGTCGGGCAGGAGCTCCATAACTTTTCATGTCTATTTGGGGAATTGAACTGCGCTACCCGACCACCACTTTTATAAAACACATATGACTGTTCTTTTTCGAATGGAAGATTTTGTTTAGTCGTTGCAGCAGCAAAGTTATCTTCGAGACTGTATCATAAATACAATACCGAAATACAGTTGCCCTATAAGCCCCAAACTGAATTCAAGTCGTGAATGTTTCTTATCCTAAGAAGCAAGTAAAGAATTTGTCTTATCAAAAACGGCAGGTGCACGCTGTGATGAAAGAAAAGGAGTAGGGAATGTTCATCATCATTCAAGAATATCGTGATTTGCTTGCAATAAAAACAGGACGGGAAAGAAATAACATATGTCTGTTTACTGCCTTTATAGTGTATTATGTTTACGAATACCGGAAGTGGGTATACGAGAGAGATAGGAACACCATAGTTGTAATTTTATTATCATATACAAACACAGATGTTTTTGACTCATACTCTCGTTTTATATAAAATCTGCTATGTCATTTTAATTGCATATATGTCTCTCATACATATACATTTCTGACGATGAAATATTTAAAACAAATTATTACATTAGCTTGAACTGGTTTTGATGTACATTAAGCTAAGTAAGTGTTTTAGGTGTGTCAGTGATAACCTGGATAGAACCAATGCATGCAACAGATAACACTGGAAAAGAAACGGAAAGAAAATTTTGAGTAAGATATTTGAATACCAAAACACATTACAATAATTCATTTATTTTCATTCATAATTATTTTCCCTTAGTCCATGCAAGGCAGACCCACCAGCAGAAGATGGTTTTGGAATAGTTTAGATAAAATTTGATCTGACAAAATACTCCCTGCAAGACACTTTTGTTCTCTGCGTTAAAAAAACTGTTGATGGCATTATATATCGCACCCTTTCTTCAAAACATGTGGCATTGCACAAAGTAAACATGTCAAGCAGTATTCGAGTCAAACTTTACAAATGAAATTCCAAATGATAAAAATCGCTATTTTGAGACTTGCACGTAAAGTGATACAAGGTCATGATTTAATTGGTTACATTTTCAATTTATCAGTTTTCAGTTTTGTCTGGTTGGAACAGCCGGCGTGAAAGATAAAGCATCGCCTTTCTTACCAGCGATCACACAAATAAATGGAAACCATCAACTTTATATTAATTCTTAAACCTTGATATCAGTTTGCGCACTGTTCATCCATTGACATTTAAAACTACATTTTCTAGGATTTTCCGTTTGTTAGTGTGTCTGGAATGTTGAGGAATCTTGCCCTCCTTGAACATTTTAGTGCAAATCACTTGAAAGTCGTTTTAAAATGACATACTACCGCACTGGGTCAACTTTGAACTCAATCTGTCTTGTTATCTTGAAAACTGACTTGCTAGATATTAAAAAGGCTTTGTTACAAGTCAAATACATAACAGAGGTTGACATATACAATTTTACCTTTTTTTCTCGGATAGTTGCCAGAATCTATGATATGTCTGAATTAGATAAACATTTGCAAAAACACAAAATGTATGATAATGAAAAAAACATTAATATTGGAGTAGCTGTTTTTTCAGTCATTCGAATGTCCACAATAGGAGGGTACAACAAGCATCCACACGTGTCGCACTCAGTTATGCATAGCAAGCAATAACCTAATTAAGCAAAGACATAAATAATTTGTAATAAAACTAATTCATCTAAGTTCTGTTTGTTACGTGCTGTAGTTGAAAGTTGTCAAATTACAGTAATATTTTTTCTGTGCATTGTATTGTATTTTTCCAATGTACGTTTAGTTAGAAATATACATTTGTACTTTTGTATTTGAAAATGTTGACTCTCGATGCTGATCGACTTCTTTGTGTCCTTATTGAACAATTCTTTGATTAGAGATTAAATATTTTGAAAAAGGAAATAGAACTTTAACATTTTTTTCGTGTTGTGTGATAGTTTGACAATGTATGACTAATGTTAGATCTGAACAGATTTTTTTGTAATAAATCATTTTTGTGGAGGATTTATATAATCAATATCTCATATCCTAAAACAAGTATGTGTTTTGACAAATTATTGTATTGCTGAATGGTTATAATTTTAAAATGCGTTGAATGCTATTTGAACTTTTTCACCTTAATATTTTGTCATTTATCATTGCATTTTACTATGTAATGACACATTTTCGTATCTCTACATTCATTCGTATCGGTGAGTCGGTAGAAATTTGCGTAAGTACATTATTGTAGATATATGAATATGAAAACACCTTACAATATTAATTATATATTTACATAAATAATAAAAGTTTAAGAGACAATAAGGAACATCGTGATTGGTTATAGTTATTAAAAAATGAATCTTTTATAAATTTTACATAATCTAGGAAATATAGCAAAGGCTAGCACGAAATCTTTTTTCTTTCAAATGAATAAAAATTTGTACCAAATATTTACAAATGAACATAATTGAAGTTACTTTTTTAATGTTATCCTTTCTACACCGTTACTATATGTTCAATCATTGTGCTTCACTAATTTATTTCAGTATTTGCCATTATGTGTACAGTGAATACATATGAATGTCCGTTTAGAATGTTAACTGCTTCAAGTATTTAAGTTTTGAATATTTTGGTATGAAGACAATGGTCGTCTATTAAAATATAATTGAATGTAGCTTAATTTAAATGTGAATAAAATGGAGTATATTTAAACAAGTATCGTTATGTTTCTGGTGGGCGACGGGGATCACCGTCCAGCCAACAACACCTCTCACACGGACACCTCAGACTAATAACTAACACGAACCAAATGTGCGTTTAAAATGTCGTCTTTCAAATTTAAGTTTCATATTGAATAATGATGAATAATTCCGACACATTTGCTATTTTATAACCTAAATAACTGTTATACTTATACTTGCGGTATTCAAAACGAAGTGTATTTCGCTTAAAATGGACCTAATAAGGATGTCGCCGTGACTGTCAAATGTTATTCCAGCCTTAAACAACTAGTTCCTGTGCTCTGTTTTCTTTTCTCTTGGGCTTAACCTCCTTAGAAGAAAGGGTTTTATATCTGATCTGAAAGGACATCCACAGAGAAAATAAATGATCGGAAGAAACCAGAAACGAAAGGAAAACCACAACTATCAAAAATGTTACAGTTTCGACTGCAGATCAATGTTAAATGGTCTCATGGCTCTCAATAGCATCAAATATGAACAGTAGAGAGCTTCAAGTGCTATTTTATGACTTGTGGGTCATGGACAGGAAACAAAACGCGAAGGTCAAAACAAGGTTGTGTCTGGTGAGACATTAGAAAGAAAAGTGTATATCTGGGAACAGAGAAGATACCAAGATCGCAATGATCCGCTATTATCACGATTTCGAGATAGCAGACATTAGTCTTATGTCCTTCGCTTACAACGTAACTGGGTCACCTCCATGTACGTTTGAAGGACCAGGGAATATGTTATGTTTTTATGCCTACTACATTACCTGTCGGAGGAATTGCATTGTACTATTATATGATCGTTTTCAAGAGGTTGGCGCCTTAAAAGAACCCATCACTTGAAAATGGCTCCTCAGTGGGCTGCTTTCAAATAAAATTAATAAGTTGTTGCTTTGTGAAAAAGACGATTTCCGAGAAATGTAAGAGCACTTAAATGTCATAACCTGGAAAGGGTAGCATGACAATGGCCAAACCAGTTTTGTGTTGCAATCCGATTTCAAACCTACGTAGAACATAGCAGCTAATGCTACTAACCATTAGGATAAATTTGGCATATCCCTATGCACAACCCATGCAAACATATAATTCATTTAGAGCAAATTTGTCCCTAGTCTTCATAGTAAGTATGGCAAATGTCTTTGTCTTTTGTTGATTGGCCCTTCAGAATAAGTATGACAAATGTCTTTGTCTTTTGTTGATTGGCCCTTCAGAATAAATATGACAAATGCCTTTGTCTTTTGTTGATTGGCCTTCAGAATAAGTATGGCAAATGTCTTTGTCTTTTGTTGTTTGGCCCTTCAGAATAAGTATGACAAATGTCTTTGTCTTTTGTTGATTGGCCCTTCAGAATAAGTATGACAAATGTCTTTGTCTTTTGTTGTTTGGCCCTTCAGAATAATTATGACAAATGTCTTTGTCTTTTGTTTTTTGGCCCTTCAGAATAAGTATGACAAATGTCTTTGTCTTTTGTTGATTGGCCCTTCAGAATAAGTATGACAAATGTCTTTGTCTTTTGTTGATTGGCCCTTCAGAATAAGTATGACAAATGTCTTTGTCTTTTGTTGTTTGGCCCTTCGGAATAATTAGGACAAATGTCTTTGTCTTTTGTTGTTTGGCCCTTCAGAATAAGTATGACAAAAGTTTTTGTCTTTTGTTGATTGGCCCTTAACCAGATGTACATTGAAGTGGTATAAAACGTAAACAGAATCGCACAAGAAACAGACTATGTTAGGTTGTGTATAAAGGGATATAAATCTTTCATTTGTACGTAGAAAAGACTTTTTAAAATTAACTTCTTTTTTATATCTCTATATTGTTGTTTTTCGTCTCTTCACCTTGGAACTGTCTTTTCAGAAGCCAGCGAAATTTCATTGTACATTATTTGAAATCTAAAAGAGAACATAAGTTTCTTTGTACCATTGGCTCAAATTGATATGAAAAAATGTAATACCACCAAGTAACATGAATGAAAAACTCGAGGAATTTGCGTTCTCAGAACCCTCAAGGACAGTTTCATAGTATCACGTCGCCCTAACCCTGGTACATACAAATAACGACCTAACCAGCCCTAAACCGCTTATCCGTGTTTATTAAATCATTATTTCGTGGAAACTTTTTTGTGGATGGATACAGCTCAGTAAAGCTAATTATACTACTTACTTTTAACAGCTGGTAAACGTATGATTTTGTTGATCGAGAACGTACCCATAAAAAACAACGAAAATAAAATTCCCCACGAAAATGAACGATTTTACAATATCACGAATGGTTTAGCAACGTTGAAAACGGGGATTCTTATCAATTTTGGCATTTCTAAATTTCCCTGACTGTCAGATCAAATCCGACAAAAACTGACAAGCAAAATCTGCCCTTGCACTTATTTTGTTTCCTAGTAGAGGTATCGAAAGAGTGTTGATGCCGACATAAAGCTGTCTGATGGTAAATACTGGGGACAACCAACACGCATAACATTTATAAAAGATATGAAGCAAATTTGCCACATTCCATGGCCCTCTCCCTCCCCAAAATTTATAAGCAAACAAACAAAACAACCATTATGTTAAGTTATCATTTTGAACAACAATAAATTCAATAGCTAAGAAAATAATTCTTTGGCGGTGTCAAAAAATTGAAACCTGTTTTTGCAGCTAAATGCAAACAGTATCAATCAGGTCTGATTTGCTAGTGTTGGGTTTTGAGTTACATTGAGATCGGATGTTGAGATCATTTAAATGTGTCACCATACTGAAAGTAGTGACAGGAGCGGACTGTGTTAATCGTTTCTTAAATCAAACTGTGGTGCAATGTTTTCTAATGTATTGAATGCACTTGTATTTTCAAGGACATGTAGAAGTATTGGTGAATCAATACTTTCCTAATCCTTTAGCCTGAGAGCGGTTGTAAGGGCAAATAATGATAGCATGTATGAGTGGTAGCCTCGTCTGATATGATGTCAACTATATCCAGGGGAAGGGAGACAACTTGTTTGACATTAGAAATAAAATTTCCTGAAAACTACTAAGTGATGGGAGACTACTCGTGTGGTTTAAGATGGAACATGACTGATAATTTAACAAGTGTCGTCTGCTATATAGAGAGAAATAACGCTAAAGACGTGGGAGCTTTGTAAGCGGTCGGGAATTCAGCGACAGCTACACAACCATGATATCATTACGTTACGTTGTTTGTGACGTCACTGTTGTTCGGCATCAGTTGAGAAATTAAAAATAAATAGTTGAGCTAAACGGACATTTTTAGTCTCACTATTCACTACCTCATTACAAAAACAACAATATTCTTCCTAAATGTTTGATAATCCGTAGATGACAACGAATGTTTACATGTAAAAATTATTTTCCTTTAGATACCAGCATATATAGTGCCACAACGGGGGAGGGGGACATTCATCAAAATTTTGAGATTGGATGCAGACAAACCAGATACATGATATTAAGAAAAGAAGAGTACGGGAAAAAAATAACGTATAGATTTAACGAGTTACAATTAAATCTGGGTTACAGTTCTATTATGATACTGTTTACTGAAGAAGTGAAATAAAAGGTAAGTGAATTTTAACGAGTTATGTGCCAAAGTGCCGATTTTGACCTGATGCAGGTGCGTCAAAAATAAACTTTTTGATTCCTGTATTTCTTAAAGTCTTACCTCGCAACCATTTTGAAACATGTTTGATGTCACCATTCGACGTATGACGTCACAATGGAGTAAAAACTATTTCATTATGTTGCATTGAACGTCATCATATTGGGAATGAGTGGGTAGTCGGGTGGCGCAGTGGTAACTTGTCTGAGAAAACCTGGCTTAACAAATAGTCATAAATTTGGCGTTGATTATATTAAGATGAATAGGTATCAGTGTCTACGCTAATGATAGTATTCATTTCTATATACAAGTATTAGCATCACACAAATGAGAATACTTTAAATAAATACAGTCTAAATTTTACATGTTATAAGTATCTTGTGTGAGAATTAATAGTATCACTGTAAATTAGCGCAGAAAAAAGTTTAAGAATTCAATATTGATATCTCGATCTAGTATCGAGATAAATGAATTATGGTTTAAGTCTCGAAAATCCATTTATCTTGATCTACACAGCAGACGATACTCGATCAACTTGTAGCCATGAGTCTTATCTAACATTTATCATAATATACTTTGACATAACATGTGAAAAACAAACCATTAATTTTTATTGATACAAACTAGAAGCAATAGATAATAAAAAAAAATCGCGATCTAAAACCTCGCTTGTCAATGCATCAATGGTGAGTGATTTGTTCAGAGTTATCGTTCCTTACACGCAGACAAGAGTGCTGCTCGATTTGTCGCTGAAAGTCGTGATTCGAGCACTTTCAGCCACGTTACCAGCCAGTAACTCTGTTCCCTTCATTCTTCGTTCACCTATAGATTTTTTTATTAAGTAGATATCACTCCAAAGGAATCCGAAGTTATATTTGAAAGCATAGATTAATCTTTATCACGAATCATAACACGATATAGCTTGTATAACTTTATATAGATGAAGACATACCCAAAATATGAAGTTCCTCTTTCAAATAATGTGACAGATTGAGCCCGAACAAGTACCAACATAAAGCACGGTTAACTCGTACTTCCACTTTGTAGGCAAGATGTAGTTAATCACTTTATCAAAATTATCCATACTAGCAAACCTTCAGGCCTTGTAAACTGTTGTCCATTCGTAACGATCATTTTGCGAAAGTAAGCATGGCGTTTGTATATAATATTAAAGAAAGGTTAAGGGGTTAGTTCTTCTACGTGTCTGATCCTGTTTCTGTAATGTAAGGCGGATGAAATTTGTCCGCTGGAGATTGTAACAACAGAGAGGTTTGCTTTTCCTTTATCTTGAAAATGCAGGTTTGTTTTTTTAATTTAGACTTACTTTCTGGAAATGAAAATCTTCCTGAAGAAAGTAATGAAATGAAT